ATATAAGATCATAGATTCACCCTCTATTGTTGTAATGTATAGATAGTCCATATATTAACTGTGTCTTTACTTAGCAAGACAAGATTTCCATCTAGGTCGTTGTAACCAGCAACGTTATCGCCCTGGCCCGGGACTGAAGTTGTCAAACATCCTGCAAGCCCCCTCTTCAAAAGACTCTTCCCAGTAATCAAGATCTAAGAAGAAGATACAGCAGACAAATGGACTTCCTCATCCTGAGAACTGTGATTGATTTTACCTGAGTTAACAAGACAAACAGCATGTTTTATAATTATTGCTTCCATGCTTTGTATACCCTGTTCCTTAGAGTAAATCTTTTACTGCCCCTCACCCATTTACTTGCATGTATCACATTTTCAATAAAAAGGCACAATGATTCCTAGCAGTTGTCACTCCTCAGAGAGCGATCTCTGGGAGTGTCCAGCTGAGGACATGCATGAAAAGGCACGAGGCCTTAGTCTTCCTTTCTTTCCAGCGCCGCCTCCGTTGAGATAACCCACCCATGCCGAGGCTGGACCCTGGCAGAGGGGAAGGGATTGTGGTGTGGCCATTACCCCCCAGGGAGTGATTTCTCACTTTCTGTCTCTCTCTGTGTGTCTGGGGTACACGTGCCCTATAGCAAAAACCTCTAAAAAACAAAACAAAGCAACTAGGTAAAATAAATAAAGGGGAAAACTACAGTGCTCATATCCTTATTGATAGAAAACAAGTCAAGAACATAGTGGGTGTTTAATTAGGTAGTTAAGTTTTTTTGAGTATTGAGAAAAGAGAACACACGTGTAAATGAATTAACAGGTATGTGCTTAAAGATAGGCTCATACAAGGACAGGTTAGCTATATCATGAAAAATGCCCAGGAAAAGTTTGAGAGAGTTTGTGAAGCAGAAAGAGATCAAAGTTTAGAAGTAACAAATCTGAGCTTTATCATCTTCCTCATTGGGAAAGAAAACTTCATAAGAGAGAGTCTACACAACTGGAGAACCTTTGCCGGCTACCTAACAGTATGCCTAGGGAACTAAAGATCAGCACAATTTAGGAAAATTAACAGCATGGAATAGAAGGCCAAATATAGACGATCAGAACAAATGTCATGGAAGAGAACTGATAATTTAGGGAACAAAGGGAAAAAATTCTGACGAGTGTCCTCCAAGGGATTATAGAGAGTGCTGAATCTGAAAACATAATCATGCTTCTATAAAAAGGAGCAACAGAGAACAGTCCTAAGTTTGGTGGCTATTCAAAATGGATTGAAAAGTTTTTTTAAAATAATAAAAGGGTTGAATATTAGAATTTAAATGACCATAAACCAAATAAATCTTCTGAAAGATGAGTCAAGAAAATATCCTAGAGATTTAGGGACTAAAAGAACTTTCCATATCTTACAAAAAAGTTATAGATGAAAATACATAAAAAGGTAAGAAAAGTGAAGAATCAAAGAAATAAGATAAGAAATTTTTCTTAACCTGAAGAAAATAAAGCTTCATTAGACTGAAAGTAACTCAAATACCTGAGAAACCAGCATTTATACAGAATCTGGAAAAATGTTACAAACCTAAGGGTAAAGAAAATCTACTTTAACTTATCTATTATAAAAATGGATAAAAATGTAGTGGACTTCAGACATCTTGCCTTTAATAATGGATATAAAAAGGAAATGAAATATGTTTCCAAAATCCTTAAAGAAAGAAAAATAAATCTTAGAATTCATTACCAATGAAATACTCATTTACATATGAGAAATAGTAACTACATTTTTTTTATGTCTAAAGCTAAAGACATTGAGCCACGTTCAGGTGTGCTCTGAAAGGTTTTCTCAAGTTGATGCTTTCACATGCCAAAAAAGAAGATCAGGAGCTGGGAAAACAGGATGATTAAGAAGTATTAATTAAGGGTCAGCAGATGGCATAGCAGTTATGTCACTGGACTCCCACATGGTGGACTGTGGTTTGAGTCTTAAACTCAGCTTGAAAATCACTCTGGGTGTGTGTGTGTGTGTGTGTGTGTGTGTGTGTGTGTGTGTGTGTTTGTGTGTGTTGAAGATCCTGGGAGAAGAGTGGAGGAGAAGGGATTGCAGTGTGGCCTTCCCTCCTGTGGGGTGAATTCTCACTTTCCCTCTCACTGTCTCTGTCTCTCTCTCTCTGGCAAGTGCACACTCCCTAAGGCAAAAGCCTCTAAAAAGAAAAAGTATTAGTTAGAAAAGAGATAGTGGTTGTCAAAAGAAATTATAGTTATTTCTAAAAAGCTTAAATTTAGGAGGGTGAAATTTTCCAAAACAAAAGAATCAATGTTAACTGTGAAGGATGATATATTTAATCCATCATAATCACAATAAAGATGCGCTGTACATAGAAGGTACGTGGATTTCAATAGTTACTCAAGGACTCTAGTCAGAAGACATGGCTTCGAACAAAGAGTATAGTAAAAGTGGTTTTAGGGAATGACAACTGCATCTGTCACATTTGAATCACTGTTGGAAGACGGTGAGTGATCAGACTAAATATACTGACATAAATTACAGTAATCTTGGCATTAAAATTAAACTAAAGAGGATATTGTTTGCATTTTAATACTTTAAATTAAAGCAAACAAAACAAAATAGAAATTTAAAACAATCTCAAAGTTTTACCAAACATTCTTTTTATTACTTCTATATATAATATATTTTATAGTGTTATATTCTGGAATGTATTCTAGCTATGGAGCTGTATTTTTGAATCCATTAATCAAATCCTCCCAATCCTGCTATACCATTCCTAGCTTCTAGTAACCACTATTCTGCCTATTACTTCCATGATTTTTTTTTTTTAGCTTTCACATCTGAATGAGAATATGTGGTATTTCTGTCTTTATTCCTGACTTACTTTGCATAACATAATGTCCTCCAGACTCATCCACATCACTGCAAATGACAGGATTTCATTCTTTTGATGGCTATATTACACATATATACATATTGTGTGTGTGTGTATGATATATATATATATATATATCATATATATATAGAGAGATATTTGGCATATATCTATATATCTATATAGATATATGGCATATATCATATATATTATGTATACATGCCATATATCCACATTTTCTTTATCTGTTTATGGGTTGATGGACATTTAGGTTGATTCCATATCTTGGATATTGTAAATAGTACTGCAATAAACGTCAGAAAGTGGATAGCTCTTCCACACACTGCTTTACTTTCTCTTGGGTATGTACCCAGTAGTAGGATTATTTGATCATATAATAATTATATTAGCTTTTTAAGGAATCACCATACCACTTTCCATAATGGGTCTACTAATTGACACTTCCACCAAGAGTTATAAAAATACCCTTTTCTTGGTCTGGTCCCATGGCCTAGCAAGTAGGGGAGATGACTCCCACACGATTGACTGAAGTTTGGAGCCAGCCTGGTGACTTGAGAGACCACTGGATACATATGTGTGCTGTGCTCAAAGTCCCTGCAGGATAAAAAGATGGAGGAGAAGAGACTGTCCTGTGACTATGCCCTATTATGGGGTCCTTTCTCTTTCTCCCTCTCTTTCAGTCTTTGCTTCTCTCTGGTAAACACATGTGCCCTCTGGAAATTAAAAATAATTTTTTTAAAGTTCCTTTTTCTTTATATTTACAACAATATTTATTGTTTAATATCAGTGTCTTAACTAATGCTTTTTTGGGGGGGACAATGGTCAGAGGAGTATAGAATTATGATGACACAAATTGGTACTCTGCTTCTGTATTCCATATTTTTGTTTGCACATATAATTCTTTATTTTGTCCTTGGAACAGTCTGAGTATATTCCAAACATCACTCATAATAGTGAGATATAGTAGAACTTTATCTCCATAGTATAATTAAAGATTGCTATAACTTACTGAAAGTATCATAAAGTTAGTAGTATATGTTATCTCTAAATATTAATTAGAATGTAAAGAAGTAGAGATAAAAATAGAAGAGTGAGTTTTAGAGTACTCCAGCTGGCATGTGGTGGTCAAAATTTTTCATTGACCATATGAAAAATATGTGTATGAAGCATGAATAAATAACATATTACTTTGAGTAGTTTTATATTTCTTTATGCTATTACCCCAATAAAAATCCATCAGTGACATCACCTAAAGATGTATTTGAAAGTGCTTGTAATTGATCATTACCTGCACTAGGTAATGAAATTAACCAAGTACATTAGTAGTAGCAACCTTCCTGTTTTCTTGGCTATATGTCCACTTATATATAGTTTAAATAAATTATCACAATGAACAACAATACGAAGAACACTGCTGAAAATCATTTGCTAGTTTTTAAATCTATAATAGAAAGAACACATTTTGCAATAAAATTCTTTGCCAAAGTTCAGTTTGTTTTAAACAATAAAGAAGGAGATAAGAGAGTAAGAAAGAAAGGTGAGAAAAGTTTAAGGATGAAGTCAAGGAAGAAAGTATTTTTTTAATTTTGATATTAAAGTCCAACTTGTTTTGAAATCATACAGGTTTATTGTCTTTTAAATTTTTTTTACATAAGACATAGTCATTCTATTCATTCATTTATTTATTTATTTTTTACCTTCACTTATCATAAGGGAGATGCAAATCAAAACTAGTTTTCTCATCTTTAAGTGGCATGGAGCCAGAACAGCATAGTTTTTTTTTTTTTTTTTTTTTTTTACTTAAAAGAAATGATTCTGGAACCAACAGAGGGTGTAATGGATACATTGCTGGACTCCCACGCACTCGATCACAGTTCGTATCCGGACCCAGCAGCTTAAAACTAATGCTAGGTACATGCACAGACATGCCCAAAATCCCAAGAGGAGTTTTGGAGGAGAAGGAATTGCAGCGTGGCCATTTCTGATGTTGGGTGGTTTCTCACTTTCTGTCCATCTCTGTCTCTCTGGTGAGCATACATGCCTATAGCAAAAAAATCTCTCTTAAGAAAAAAAAAAAGGAAATAATTTTCTTTTTCTCTTTGAACTTACTGTCTGTGTAAGATTGAATCTCTGAGAAATAGATACCAGGCTGGGATGAGATAAACAAATGATTTATGGGGAGAAATGCCTGTAAAGGATAAAAAGGGGAGGGAGCAGAAAAAGGTATGGCAAGCCTTCATA